ATAGATATGTGCATATCTCATTTCAGAAATAATCATTAAGCATACTCCATTAGGCCTGACCTATCATTTATGATAGATCACGGCAATTACATGCAAGGGACATTTGAAAAATAGTAACAATTTATGCATCCATGTTAGGGGTACTAAAAGTAGTGCAGACATGAAAAATCTACACCAATATGCAAAAAATAGGCCCCTATATATATTTATGCATATTTAGAGGAGGCATCAAAAAGTACAAAAACAATTGAGCCTCGTAGGAGTGCATTACAGATATGTAAAAATACCGACACATACACATAAGCATAAATCATTTTGATTCATCCAGAACTCATGCCGATGAGAAAATGATTTATCTCAAAATTTATCCATGCAGCGGTACCCCTTTATAGATATGTGCATATCTCATCTCAGAAATAATCATTAAGCATACTCCATTAGGCCTGACCTATCATTTATGATAGATCACAGCAGTTACATGCAAGGGACTTTGAAAAACAGTGACAATTTATGCCTCTATGTTAGGGGTACTAAAAGTAGTGCAGACATGAAAAATCTACACCAATATGCAAAAAAGTAGGCCCCTATATATATTTATGCACATCTAGAGGAGGCATCAAAAAGTACAAAAGCAATTGAGCCTCGTAGGAGTGCATTACAGATATAAGTAAAAATACCGACACATACACATAAGAATAAATCATTTTGATTCATCCAGTAAGCCACACGCATCGAAACAACAGGTCACAACTCATGCATGCAAGAGCATGGCATATTCCAATACATCTAGAAATGCCGATGAGAAAATGATTTATCTCAAAATTTATCCATGCAGCGGTACCCCTTTATAGATATATACACATCTCATCTCAGAAATAATCATTAAGCATACTCCGTTAGGTCTGACTATCATTTATGATAGATCATAAGAGTTACATGTAAGGGACTTTTGAAAAACAGTGACAATTTGTGCCTCCATGTTAGGGGTACTAAAAGTAGTGCAGACATGAAAAATCTACACCAATATGCAAAAAGCAGGCCCCTATATATATATATATATATATATATATTTATGCACATCTAGAGGAGGCATCACAAAGTACAAAAACAATTGAGCCTCATAGGAGTGCATTACAGATATATGTAAAAATACCGACACATACACATAAGGATAAATCATTTTGATTCATCCAGCAAGCCACACGCATCGAAACAACAGGTTACAACTCATGCATGCAAGAGCATAGCATATTCCAATATATCTAGAAAAGCCGATGAAAAATGATTTATCTCAAAATTTATCCATGCAGCGGTACCCCTTTATAGATATGTGCATATCTCATCTCAGAAATAATCATTAAGCATACTCCATTAGGCCTGACCTATCATTTATGATAGATTATAGCAGTTACATGCAAGGGACTTTTGAAAAACAGTGACAATTTATGCCTCCATGTTAGGGGTACTAAAAGTAGTGCAGACATGAAAAATCTACACCAATATGCAAAAAGTAGGCCCCTATATATATTTATGCACATCTAGAGGAGGTATCAAAAAGTACAAAAGCAATTAAACCTCGTAGGAGTGCATTACAGATATAAGTAAAAATACCAACACATACACATAAGGATAAATCATTTTGATTCATCCAGTAAGCCGCACGCATCGAAATAACAGGTCACAACTCATGCATGCAAGAGCATGGCATATTCCAATACATCTAGAAAAGCCTTCAAAATATTCAAATGCAATTATGCCTCGCAGGAGTGCATTATTGAGCCACAAAAGATTAAATCATATAAGATTTTTCTAGGAAGCCACAAAAGATTTTGACATAAATCATTTTATTCATGTAAGGGGATTACAAGCAGCAAAGACATAGAAATGTCTTAGCTGTAGACCAAAGTTCCCCTTCATAGATATATGCACGTCTAGAGGAGGTACCAAAATATAAAATTTTAATGACCTTCATAATGGTGCATAACACGTAGATGACACAAGGCAACTGAAAAGATACAATTACTGAAAGAATTTGAAAACAATTCACTAAAAAGCTATACGGAAGCACCTCCCCCATTTTTTAAACCTGTAAGCAACAAGCTAAGTCGCAAAACCACATTGTTCTCGGAAAAACTTTGAGCAAAAGATTTTAAATTAGTCTCTGATGCTTTCCGATGACCATCAACATCCAAAAGTTAATTTTGTGCCAGAAGAAACATCTCTTGCAACAATGATGTCAAATATGCTTCATAGACGGAGCCTTTAAGCAGAAGGCCCGGGGAAGGAGGCTCCTGGTTTGCATAAAGTAGCAAGTGAGGGTTTTAAAAATGTGAACCAGAAAAAAGTTTACCATCCGATAAGAGAGGTGCTATCAATATTATCAAAATACCTTCTTCTGATAATCCCACCACCGGATCCCATAGCATTAACCACTCCAAGCATACCACCCGAATTCACAAGAGAAGGGTAAGGATCAGAGTAACATTTTTTAAACAGCTCCAAGAAACTTTTCAACATGGTCAACCTCGGTAGAATGAAACTCCTCATTCAGTTTCTATGAAAGAACTGTCCCTGCTCCGAAGCAAGATGCCATCAGAAAACTCGGGTGGAACATGCCAGATTTTTTCACAATACATGAGGAAGAAAGACCATCAGGAATCTAGAACTATATAAGCGCAAGACAATTGCAAAATATTTATCGGGTCGGTTCCTTGCGAGTAAAGGGAGCAACGGCTATAATTTTTACAAGACAGCTGTTAATATGTTGGCAGTAACAGCCGCTAATGTTTAGATATGTGTTGGCAAAAACAAGTGACAGAGGCTTTTTTTTTTTTTTGTGCCGTCAACAGCTGCTAATTTTAACAGCTGTTATTCATCCATCATCGTCAATCAACAGCTGTTAAATTTACAGTAACGGCTATAATTTTTATAAGGAGCAACGGCTCAGGTCTTTGCCGCCAATTTTAAACTTCGAATTTTTGGGCATGTAATAAATAATTCAATATTGATTCATTAGTAGGTTAATTAAAAAAATCGTATTTAAGTGAAAAATCTTAAGATTTTCATTGATCCCATAATTTATCTATAAATATTTTTTGCCAACCATTTATCTATAAATATTTAGATATATATTACAAATAATTACATAATCATCATATTTAAACGTTGATACGTTACTAAATTATATAATGTAATATATATTAAACATTGAAAAATAAGAGAAAATAATTTAAAATCAAATAAAAATATTTTTGTCCATCTGTTATTATTTTTTCTCCCCTCTCACTGTCTGCCTTCCACTAAAATTCGTTCTGTTGAAGGCTTGAAGCAAATAGACTACTTTTTTTCCTAGTGAAAATATAACCATTTTGTTTTTTTTAGCCAACGTGAAAATATAACCAAATAGACTATTAATTCAACAGCTGTTACATTTTTTACAGCAAATTAACAGCTATATTCCAGTAATAAAATTCAACTTATATTACAGGAAATTAATTAACAGCTGTTACGCTTAAATTTACAGTACTCTCGCATGGTGTGTATATGTGTACATATATACTGGAATTAACAAACGAGAAGCTCTAGCCTTTGCCTCCTTTCCATTCCCGTACTTTTGGTACTGTGTAGACGGTGTCTTTCACTCGCGACGATTGCTCGAACTTCAATCCAGAAACCGACCCGAATACAGCTGGTTTGCAGAAGAACAATGCCTTGTGAGGGTTCAATTACTCACCTTTCTATATTTTCTTACTTAGCCTCCGATTTGAAATTCAGTTTCATGCGCGTTGATCTCCAAGCACAAGAACTAGCAAATTGGGAGTCAGTTTGGGCTCATGTTATTAATTGCTGAGGCGCTAGCCTGGTGGAAGTTCAACCCGAACTCCTGCGGCGAGCCTCTCTGTTTATGTTGCAGAATAATAGATTGGGAATGATCAATTTTTGTGAATTTGTAAGACCATTATTGAATTTTTACTATATTTCCTGTTCCTTTATTCATTTGAATCTGCATTATCAGCTGTTCACTGTGGCTCAACGAAATGCTGTTGAATTTCTTGGCATCTGTGTTCGATCGGTGTCATGGTGGTAGTAATGAGTTCTTATTTGAACTCTTAAAGCTGATGTTGTCTGTACAGAAAGATCATGGGTTACTTTGACATGGCTTCCTGGTTTATCATCAACTATGGTATGGCTATGGACAATCCTTTTCCAATCAGAACTTGAACATCTTCAAATTTCTATTCTGAAATTCATTTATACAATGCTCAAGTGGAAATGTGAAAATGGTAAGATTTATAGTGGCCATTATTGAGTATCTAGAAACTGGAATTGCAACATCTGTGTTTTGAAATGGAATCGAAGAATATTCTTAAAGTTTCAATTGGAAATTTGCATGGGCAATATGTTCATGCACTGTTTCTAGTTAAAACCTCATGCTTAAGTGAGCATTGACTTGGATTAGAAGCTTAACTGGGCAGTTCAATAAAAGCATTTCTGGAGACATAGTTTTATGAGCATGATGCAGGTAGAGAGTTTATATGTTGATCACGATATCAAATAATTAGTTTATCTATAAATATTTAGAAATATATTTATACATGTTGCAAATAATTACACAATGATCACAGTTGATAATTAATAAATATATATTAAAAACTCATAACTATATAATATATATTTTACATTAAAATATAAGAGAAAGTAATTTAAAATATTCCATCCATCTATTATTATTTTTTCTCCCCTCCTCTCCTCCGCTTTCCCTTTCCGACGTAATAGAAATGTGTTACGAAAAATTACATATCTCGATTTTTTTGCCCGCAGATGATAAATGCTAATGCTAATCTGAAAAATTGTAATCATTAATTTATATCCGTAATTTTTTTGGGGTGAACTTATGCCCGTAATTTGTTGACGCTGATCAAATCATTAAACGACATATACGTCTGTGGGAAGTCGAGGACGAGCACACTGGAAAACAATCGCACGAGTTTGTCGAAAAAAACAACCGCGTTTTGGGATGTGAGCAACAAAACGACTCGTGAGTCGGGAGCAGGGCCCGCTGCGCTGCGTGGAACTGTAATATGAGCGAACTATTGGAGCTGGGGACTGGCTACTGAGGGGCGATGATAGTACTGTGCAAAGGCATGGCCTACTCCACCAAATTCCTTCATCCAATCAAGCACTCTTTTACTTTAATCTCGTCTCACAGCTCATCATTTTCTCACCTGAAGCGGTTCAGTAGGTTCTTCTTCTTGGCTTATATTTCACTAATTATGTTCCGTCTTGTTCTAATCGTTTCTCTATTGTTGTTTTACTTTTGGGCTTCCATTGCTTCAGATTATGGCAAATTCGATTTCGTAAAATCATTTCTGAAGAGCATAGAACCCTCAGTTTGCGGACGTGCCTCCTTGTTCAAATCCGAAGTAAATACAACTAGAAAGTATCTAAGAAATATCTATTTTTGTGGTGAGTACTCGTGTTTTGTTATTTTTGCTTGATTTTGTTTTGTTTCTTTTTTTCATATAAAATTTCCCCTTGTTTTTCTTGCTTCCACCATCAATTGCTTTATGAACTCGGTTGTCTGTGGTTATATATTTCGATTTTGAAGCTTTCAAAGTCTTCTGACGAGAATTTAGAGGGTCAAACTTCAACTCGTAATATTCAGTTTAGGATACTATTTTAAATATATATATCCCAATGTAAATTGAGTGTCGACTTTAAATGATTTGTGTCCATTTTTTTCCTCTTTGCCTTTAGACAAACTACGAGAACTAAAAAGCTCTAATTAAGATGGAAGACGAGGAGACAATAGTGGATTGACAATGTAGCATAGAGAAGTTTTAACTTTTAAGAGCTATTCCATTGACGATAATTGCTAGAACACAATTTGACCAGGCCGCTTACATGGGAATTTTGAAGGGAGGGGGCGACACCTAAACGCAAGAAGACTGTGGGAAGATTACTATTTATTTTTAGTTTGATCATCGTATCATGGCCCAGATAGCTTCTATCCATCAGTTGGAGATGCTGTTGCTTTATTAGCCTTTTTAAATATGCTTTCAGTCGTCAGTAGTTATCCATGCTACAAAGCAGTCTCTGCTTTAAGCTAACACGTGCTAATATGATGCATTCATAATTAACCTTCTTTACTTATTATCTATGTACCATAGTTCCGACTATGCTTGGAAATCGACATTCTTTTGTTTGAAGTAATACCACAACGAGACTTATTCTTCTTGAAATTTAAATATGCATTAAACTTTTGCTAATCATGATCCTTTTTTTCTCTGTCATTTGGGCTTTTTGGTAAACATTTCAGGAAGTAAGTTCAGCAGCGGAATCATTTTAGGTGTGTCAATTTCATATGGGTCAGTTATAGCTTATGCTATGGATGGTGAGATAAATATCTGGGTGTTATGACTGACTCTTCTTTTTTTTTTTTTTTTCAAATCCTATAAGTATCTCCATTCTTTTCCATCTTTTGTTTGAAGCTTACCCTTAATGACTTTCAGTACCCTTTTTTCTGACAAGTAGCTCAGGATGCTTTAGTGGATGACCCTTATGAAGACTCACTGGACCTTTCAAAGGAGGAAGAACATCAGCACCATCTGTGGACGTTTGCTCGGAGATTCTGGCTTCCTGTCTTTCTCTTTCTTACCGTGCTGACAAACTTGGATGATCCAATCTTGCTTCTACTCATTAAAGTTACTTTATTCCTCCTCAGCACAAAGCCCAATCCCTACTCTGTTTATATTTTCGTTGATCAGGTCTGAAGTCATTCTTCAAATTGCCTCGTTAACCTCTTTAGGAACTCTTTGCTGTATAATTTTTCTTTTTTTTTTTTTTTTTTTTTGTCTTTTTTGGCTTCTAGCCTCAAGGTCACTCTACTGGACGGGGTTCGTTATGGTACATTGGGCCCAAAAATGCATTGTGCAAGAATCCTTAGTTCCATCCCCCCCCCCCTAGATACTCTACCAGAAAGAAGGGAAAGAGTAATAAGAAATGACATTCTCACGTTTGATCTTGTTTCAATAACAAGTATTTTTTTTTAAAACCAAATAAATCATTTTTATCCAGAATTAATGGACATCCTTGAATTTTGATTTTTATATGGCAAGATGTTTTAAAAAAAATTTCTCTTCCCATGCTTAACCTATATTTTTTTCTGCGTTTTGAATAAGTGTTCAGTTTGAACAGTGCCTATATGATATTGCTTGATTATATTTCATGACAAATTGCTCTTATTGCAGCTTTGTCAACAATGTAAGCGTGAAGAACCATCATTGCATAAATCAAAGGTGAGCAGCCATGTTTTGTGTATTTAAACATTTCCATTTGTAACATCACATTGTAATTTGGACAAAAATCTAAGTAAACATGGGGAATCCACCCCGAAAAACCAGCTTACTGAGAGTGTGACTAGGTGGATAGAGTGACCATCGCAAGGTGCAGCCACGTGTCATGTCAACTCTTCAGAGTTAATGTTATGATGGGGTCTCGTATCAAGTGACCTCAAGTAATTTTTCTGGTACTTTTCCAATTGATGGAGACCTAAACAAGAATGGGGAACTCACTCTTAAAAATTAGCCTGTAAGGGAGAAAACCTCTGCCACTAAAGTTACCACTGGGACTAATTATGGCTACCTTGTGTGGGACTCCATGAAATTAACAGTCTCTGTTATCACATCTGACACAACTTTTAGCACTTCATTATGTTTTTATTTTAGAAACCACTGCTGGTTTTGTCCTGATACTTATGAATGCAAATTATAGGATATTTTATGTAGGCAGCTTATCCAGCTAACTATAGCTTTCCACATGGAATAATAGTATTAATTGTGCTTATTATGTGTCTTTGTACTGCTCTAACTCAGCCACTCATTCCCACTTATGCCTTTGTTGATGTCCTTAGAGTAGCTAATATTTACCAATGTGGCAATAGGCTATGTGTGGTTTGCTAAAGTCAATTTGCCAATATATGCATCTGTGATGCATAATTATCAGACAAATTGCCAGTGTTCTACCTGTTATATTTTTACATTTACTGTTGCATGATATCTGGAATATATTCCCTCTTTGATTTTTGTGTTGTCATAAAATACAATCCTATTTCCTAATCTGTATATCGATGTGATTGGTTTAGTTAATAAATCACATTTTGAATGTGTATTGTTTATATTGTATATCAAAGTAAAATATGAGGATAACTTAGATCATACAATCTCCTTCCTTTTTTCTTTTTCCCCCCTCTGAATTCCACTCATCTTAAAGTATTTGAACGGTCTGTTTGTTAATTTGATGTCTGGTGATTCTTTACATTGCAGTCACTATACGCCAGTAAAGTTGAAGTTCAGGACTATAAGCTTCTCTGTCTGGCCAATATTGAAGTCAGGAATCAGAATTTCACTTTGGTCGGAGTTCTTGGTAACTGGTGGATTTTGCCGCATATAATGCCTCAGGAGGCGTTTTCTTTAGTTAGGGATAGACTTGGTAGCATCTTAGTGAAAGCGACTTAACAAGGTAGCCGGCCAAGTTAAATTTATTGGTCCTTTTGCTTAACATTGATGAGCTTTTTTATTTTGGCTTCTGGATTGTGAAGATGACCTGTTGAACTTGTTGCCCTGAAAATGTCCTCTAATCTCCCTTCCCATGCAATCTACTGATCCGAGAAATCATCATTTTCCGTACAGCTTGCATTTCTTTTTACTAACTGCTCAATCCTTTTTGTAGTATTTAGCATCCCTCATTTTATGTTAAAATTAAATAAGTATAGGTTTTCTTAGGAAGCGTGAAGCACGATGCTTGCAGTTATTTCCTGAAGTAGCCGTTTCTCTGGCTTCTGATAGATTTAAGGTTCTCCCTCAAGTTATCAAACGCTGATATTAGAGAAGGAAAAATTAAATAAGATCTGAGAATTATTTCACAGCTGTATCCATCCTTTTGAAAATAAAACTTTATTCGGTAATTGGCAATCTGAATTTGCATTCAGTCATGTAAAAGAAGCAACTAAAATTTGCAGTGTCTTCGGTCAGCATGCTTCCGAATATCCTTTTACCTGTGAAAGCAGCAAATGTTTGTCGATGACCCTTTTGTATTTTTTTCCTTTTTATCTTACTTTTCATTGCATGTTTGATATATCTCTGCAACTGATGCCACGAGTGGAATTAATCCTTTGAATAATTTTATGAAATATCTCTTTGGCAATCTCGTATCATAATTTTGCGCAGTTTGTATAATAAAATGCTTCGTTATCACTGTACAAATGAATGCTTTTTGCATGGATTTTATTAGATTATGCCACTAGAAATATAAAACTGATTGCATATTCTCGGTCTCCAGCTTTATGCAGAATTGCATCTAATGGGCATGAGCACCGGGAACCCATTGGAATCGTCCTAATCAAGCAGGCAACAACTTTCTTCAGGTGAATCGGGAACTAATGAAGGGCCACAGAACATACCTCCCCATTGAGGGAAATACAAAAGCGTCACTGGAAGAGTGCACAATACCATCATAATGCCCATCAGAGATATGCTTGTTTGCTTGGAGAAGTGGGCCCCTGAAAACAACAGCGTTTGAGTCACCACGGCCCCAATAGTTCCTCCGCTTCCCGTCATCCCTGAAATTACTCCAAGCGATCTGCAGAATATGACGGATAAATTTTTTATTTTTTTTATTTTTTTATTAAATGAAAAGCCGTGAGCATCTTCTCTTTTTGTTTAGTATCGTCAATAGGTAATTGTGTTCCTTCTTCCATTTAAGTACGAAAGTCCCATACTCATTGAAGCCCCTATTTGAAGGGATTTCACTGACTCAGTTGAATAACGAGTTATAAAAGTTATTTGTTTATCTTTTCCGAAAATTTTTGGGATTTTGTCAGGAAGGTCAAATAGGAATAGTGAGATAATGAGCTAACCTCGTGGAAACGAAAGGGACGACACCAAATATGAGGCCAGAAGCGGCTTGAACAAAAACGGAGAAAGCGCACATGACAAGGATAGAACTCCAGAGAGAGCTGAGGCGTCCAAGTAAAACACACAGAAGTCCGGCTGCCGTTTGGACGACCCACAGGCCCCACAATCTGCCTCTCATGCCATACTTCCTTCCCATCCCATCAGAAATCACTCCTCCCATTGGTCGAGAGAACAAATTCGCCATCCCAAAACTCGCCGCAATACTCCCGGCGACTTCGATATTCACGTTAAACCTATCATAGAAGTACTGAGCTATTATGTTGTCCGTTGTTAGTTCCACCCCGAAAGAGAACCCATAAAGCAGAGCCAGAACCCACCCCCTGTAATTAGACAAGCCGTCAAATAATATTTTGAGTACGTTCTCTCCTTTAGCCTTCTGGGTCTGGGTACGCACGTATCTCCCTGAAGGCAGGTCTTGCCCGAAAGCCAAGACCAGTATTGCCGTGATTGCTTGGAAAATGGCGGGAACAACAAACGCAAGCCTCCAAGCAATGGAAGACGGTACGTTGAAGTTGATGATGAGAGAGTATACGAGAGGCATAACCAGTTGGGTCACACCCGAACCCACGTTGGCCCACCCGGCGGCGACTCCGTTTGCTAGGCCTACTATGGAGGGGGAGAACATGGAGCTCATCCAGAACTGGCTGGACACAAAGTTGGCGAGAGAAAACCCCACAAGGAAGCGAATGATGATGAATGATTGAGGTGTGGACACGAAAGCGGTTGCGAGGATGACAGGTGCTGTGATGAGGGAGAGAGTGCCGGAGGCTATGCGGGGGCCAATGAGGTCGCAGGTGGGGCCCATGAGGAGGCGGGAGAAAATGGAGCCGACGAAGGAGGCGATGCCGGCGTTGCCGATGTCAGTGGGGGTGAGTTGGAGGTCGTGGCGGATGACGGGGAGGAGGGGAGGGATGGAGAAGGTCGAGAAGAAGCAAGAGAAGAGGTTGAGCCATGCAAGATGGAAGGCAAGCATGTGAGGTGGGGCGAACGAGAGTGGGCGGAACACGGTGGCTCTGTCATGGGCATCCACAGGTGTAGGGGAGAAGTGAGGTTGCATGGCGGCGAACTATGGAGTGCCAGTGAGAGTGAAAGATGAAAATTGAGGGGTGGCAGTATATGGAATACTGGAAAGCTGGATTTCTTATAACTGGACGGGATTTGAGGCGTTTTGAATTTTGCTTCGTTGCATCCGGCGGCAACCGGTATAGGTGGTATGTGCTAATGGCTCGTGCTGCCTTCTTCATATTTAATTTTTTTTAATTACAGGGGCTTGGCCAATGATATCTCCAGCTCTTTTTTTAAATTTTTTTTAAAAATTATATATTTTGCATTTCTAACTTTTTTGCGATCAAAATTAATATGTTGCATAATTTTTTAAAAAAAATCACCCATGATGAATTTTTTTCAGAAAGTAAGAGTATGTACACTTGGTCTTCTCTTATTAAAATCACGCTAAACAAAATTACTCTACGTAATAATTGAAAATCGAAATCAATTTAAATATCTGTATTATCATAGTGAAGATGAATTATTACCATATGGCAAACGTTAACTTCTTACAGTAAATAAATTAGAATAGAAGTTTGCATATATTGCTCTGCCAATGACCAACATGGGGTCATGTCTAACTATTGATTAACGGCATTTCTTGGGTATTGCTGAACGAGCAATAAATATCGAGAGGGGTAAAATAGGCAAGTTGAATTTTACGTAGAATATTTTGTGTTCTAATTTCCCAGAACAAAACCCTTTCGTTTTTATTTCTCCATATAAAATATCGCATGTGTCGACTTCAACGTATGGAGATGAAAAGACCTCCTCCTACCGCATTCGTACGTTCTAAACTTAATATATTTTCTTCCCTCAAAAGCTAAAAATTTGCCTCCACAGAACTCATATCCTCACGAAGAAGGGGTCGATTTCCTAGTACAGACATATGAAGTCAATATTTCACATTAATTTCTTCACCACTAAGATAAATATTAAATAGCCACTGTCACTACCTTACAAGACGAGGTGAAAATTAAGCAAGCTGTCAAGTGATTGAGATTTCAGAGGCCTTTGTATTTTTCTGTTTTTCCGTGGGAAAGGGGGGTAGTCGAGGAGACTTATGAAACCATTATAATTGATGAATATAAATTTAACATATTTATTCACAGACTTCGAAATTACAAATTTCTTCAAAATAAAACATATTTATTTTATTTTCTAAATTCTAACTAATATTTTTAATTTTTAAAAAGTGTGAATAGTCTGATCTTAACATATCTAAGTAGTATTTAATTAGTTTCCCCTTCGAGTCATTCAAATCTTTGAATTTTTGGCCAAAAAAAAAAAGGTCTTTGAATTGGATCCACTTGTAGGAACCTTAAAAATTCGTATCTTTTTCTCCCCAAAATGAAACTAGTCTAATGAATCTACATTCATGGAAAATTACCTAAAAACATCAGTCATCAAAATTATTCGTGTACACAATCGACATAATCTAAAATTGTCTAGACTCCAACAATTAAACTGAAGGAAGAGGTGCCTAGATTTTGTTTTACGAGTTTCAAAATCTTGTAATTTTGAGAATATATGTTAACCCTATCAAGCATTCTTTGTCACAACACGTCATGAATTAGGAGAGTTGATCCTTTCCATACGGAATTACCATGCTTTTTGGAAGTACATCCATTATTTGATGGATGACATTTTTTTGTTCAAATGCCACTGTCAATGAAGCCAATGAAGCTTTTCAGATATGCAACATCAATAATGCTCATATCATGTGATCAGGATTGCATGGACTATAACCATTTACATTTATTTGCTGTATAACTTGTCTTCAAAAGAAGGTTAATGCTTGAAATCACTGTTGTGACATCAGGTCAAACCATGATAAATTAGAAGATCAATACTGGGGGAAAAACTGAAACTAAATCTGCATGCTCTATCTTCAGAAACAACTAATTCTTTCTACTAACTATGACAGAGTTGACAGGAAATCTAATCCGTCACCTTATTGATACAAAAAATTATACACCAATAGCCATAAGCCTTTATCCACTGAAACAATGTTCAACGGGATTGAAGCATGGAAGCAAAGAACACCTTCAGAGTAAAACTCCTGAGGTAGCAATGCAGTATTATTTGGGAGGTCTCTAAGTTATCATTGCAGGCACACGTACTAAATTCGTGTTATGCTATTTCTCCTCCTTCCTTGATATTTCCCATTTTTCCCGAAGCCTTTGGACTGCAGATATGATAAATTTTGAAATCTGCAACCCATCTTCAAGCCATGGACTGCCACCTAAGGAAAAGCCCAAAGCTGAGAAAAATCAATTAAAATTATATGCTAATTAAGCCTTAACTTCCACTTGCTTTGGTTGATTTTCTGGAACCAACAACCCAAGACCTTCATCTTTCTCCATACCAACGCTAGAAGAATTGTTGTTCTGATGCAAAGGATTTGATGTCAATATCCGCAATCCTGACCTTTTCCCTTCTATCTCCAACACTTCAGGCAAACCATTTATACAACCCTTTGACATGCCCACATCAATCCGAATAGCTCGGTTATCACAAACACCATTAATTCCAACATCTTGGATTGTGTGGCCCATGATCATCCTCTTCGCACCGGGAATGGTGGAAAGAACATGCTCAAGAGCGGAACAATCGCAATTTTGTGCCGATTCATTTGAAAATTTCCTCGACCAAACCAAACCTTCCCTCCCCCGGCAATAAGCAGGTGAGCGTCTCCCTGACAACCCGTTAATCCAATCCCTCACCTCTTCGTTTATCCGCTCCAATCCATGAGTAACATGTTGGGGCAATAAGCCCCCATGAACGAAAATCGAATCTCCAACAACCAATACAGTCACATTCTGTGACAAAAATCGGCTCGAAATTGGACCGTTAGGCCGCAATGCAGCAATCCTGGCTTTAAAACCGTCGAAGAACTCTTCCTTCACACCGCGAAAAGCAGAGGGAATCCCTTCAAAAGGATCTTTGGGCTTCTCCAACCCTCGACAAAGACTCTTCATCTTGTTCCCTAAACAAAACCAATCCGCCCACACCTTAAATTCATCCAAAGCAGGCCGGGTGACGTACCTGAAATCGCCCTCCACGTTCATAATCTCGTGGTTCCCGTTCATGGTGATGATGGTGCCACCACTTCTCGCTGCCTGGCGCTTTAATTTCTCGAGCAAGTAGAGGATCTTGAGCTCTTCGCCTCCCCGGTCGAGCACATCCCCGACCTGGACCACGGTGGTGGACCCTCCAATCCAACGATCGGACTCATCTATAAGCTTGGCAAGTCGGAAAGCCTGTTTGGATTTCTCAAGATCGCCATGGAGATCGCCAATGGCAATTAGACGGTCTGGTGAGGGTAGGCGGGTCTGCAAGGCAGGGACAAAGCGTGAAAGAGGGGAAGAAGGCTCACTCACGGAAGCGAAGTTAGGATTTTCTACCGGCGGCGACGGCGGGGGTAAGAGGAAGAGGCCGCTGACTGAGAAGTCAACGAAAGTATCGATGAAAAATGATAAAAGATTTGGAACGTCATTGCAGAGCGATGAAGCTGAGGCCTCCTCCATCTGCCAGGGAAAATTTTCTTCTTCGGAGATTGTTTAGAGTCTTTACTGACTACAACCATAGGGATTAGGCACCCCAGAAATTTCTTGGGCTGCTTCTACAATGGACTCAGGCCCTTACGGGTTCGGAGGAGACCGTGACTGCGTTTAATTTCCGCAGTCTCCCCCAGTGGACTAGTCAGCTTCTTCTTACCTCCTGCGATATCAAAAACAAAAAAAAAAAAATCCTTTTTTTAATATAAAAATAGATAATTAATTTATAAATATTTAAAAAATAAATTAAATTAGTTATTTATAATGAATAGATATTATTTTCTCTATTATCGTTATCAATCACGTGCCGAAATTATTTTTTCATAAAAAATTTTTAATGTATGCAATTGCCATAGCTATTATTTAGAAGCAAAATGAATAAATATTAAAGACAAATTAGATTAAGTATTATATTTAATATAATATCTAAATATTTCTTATTTTAAAAATGCAGACCTAATTGTTTTTGTTTGACCTCCGTATGGTGTTTTTGGCTTGTTTGATCGTTTTCTTTCCTTTTTCTTTTCCCCTTTTTATTGAAAATTTTCCTGGAGGAATTTAGTCATTAGCAGCGAGACGATTATAGGGAGGAAAAAAAATTCAAAACCATTTAATAATTACTGCAGGCAGGAAACCAGGAGCGAGAAGGAAAGGGATCGTGGGGACGATGGAGAAGGGTCTGTTCGAGGAAAGCTGGGACTCAAAGCAGCGGGTTGTTATGAGAGGGCGACGTGGCCAAGTCTGATATGTTTAATATGAAAATATTAATACAATTTTCATCTTTTGAATTTATTCTTATTTTCACTTTGATTCTTTAAATTTTAAATCATAAGTTTTGATTTCTGGATTTTTTTCATTTAAAAAATTAGTCTTTATAGTTATAAGGTAATGAAAATTTAGATTATTTTGCTTATTGAAGAATCAAAACATGTTATTTGCAATTTGATAGATCAAAATCAAAATAAAAGTAAACTTAAAAAAGGAAAAATTATAGTAATATTAGCCAAGTAAATTTTGTTACCAGTCATTTAGTTTCAAGTTACATTCTTGCTCATTCTTTTTGGATCACTATAGGAAGCATAGAATGAGGTTCTGTTGTATTTCTATAGTCCCAGTACAGATAAAATACGCCGTATTCATAGGTATAGATTTACAGCATCAAATCTAATTAAATAAACGTGTGCTAATGGACGATAATTATTGCTCCTTTGTATAAATGTCAAAAAAATCTGAGATTAAAAAAAATCAACATTTGTGAGACTTTTTTGGTTCGCATTTTAAAAACTCAAACACAAGTTATATTTTACTATTGAAATTAAATTGGAAGCGAAATAGAGGGATGAAAAGTGAGCATGCATACTTAACCATCAGTGTTGTTTATAAGTTTTAAATTTGGAGAGAGTGTAGTCTATATTTTATAAATTTCAATTTGAAATTTGTCTAGATATTTAATACATTTTCTCTAATTTTATTATTAATTATTTATTCTCTTTTCTTTGTCATACTCTCTTATCATATTTTTTTCATATATTCTTTTTTTATTTTTTATTTATTATAAGAGTATGTTTAAAAGCAAAACTGTATTTCTAATTTATTTATTACTTTTAACTAATTTTAATTAATTATTAATTATTCATGAATTAGTTATTTATAATTTATAATTATAATAATAAGAAGACGAGTATGATCCACTATTATGCAGTATCATGTGCGTATATACTACTTCCGATTTTTAATATAAAATTTTGTTCAATTTTTATTTTAATTCTAATTATAAGATCTCAATTTATTTTGTCTCTCATATGTATGCATTTTTCTTAGGATAATCCCTCTAATAATAGTAGTTCTAGCCAATAAATTTAGTTAACAAGATATTTTGGAAAAGACAAACTTATTTATTACAAATAACTAACTTAATTTATTTCTTTAATCTCCTCAAATTATTAACTAGCTCTTATAATTAGGATTGGAGGTAATACTATATAGATATCTCTTTCAAAGTAGAGCATCCACAACCTCTAATTAAATATAAATATTTTAAGAAGTCGTTTCTATTAAAAAAAAATAACGCCTCATTCAACCGTCACTCTTTCATAGAAGCAATAACTGTAAATAGATCGGAATAGTTAGAAAATATTTAAGTACCTAAAAGGACCAACTATACTCAAGTAATTATGTTGGAGTTGAGTAGTATAGCATCTCACTTACTATGGTTGGGACCTTATATATTTTTGCCAAGTATATATATATATATATTATATTTTTTTAATCATAACCTACATTATAACATTTACAATTGCAAGTATTATCATATGTTTTTAGGTTAATATAATCTTTGATTCTTCAAATTATTCTCATTTTGATTGTGATCTCTCAAATTTCAAATAATAGGTTTTGGTCATTCAAAAAGTATAAATGGTTCAAATTTTTATTAGATTATAAAGACTATTATTTTAAATAGAAAAAAATTTAAAAAACCAAAACTTATAATTTAAAATTTGAAAAAACAAAATATACAGCAAGTTTGATGGCCTGATCAGTACAGCGCAGTGGTAGAAGGATTGCCCGCCCTGTTTTAATGACCAAAGGGGGGTCGTATAACGGTATAAAACTGAAATCAGCACAGCACAGTGGAAGAAGGATTTCCCGCACATTTTCTGTCGTCGACGAACGAGCATTCCACGCCTGGCCAAGCTCGCCGTTCGACGCCCTCCACCATTGTCAGCCCTGCGTGGTTGTTCTCCGGAAGGTCCGAACCCTTGGGCTTTGTCTTCGACTAAAATCCGGTAAGATTGATTTGTACAATCTGGCTTTGAATCCCTGCGTGGTTTTCAACCGTGTCGGACGCCGTCGCACCGTTTCTTGCTTTCTTTTGAATTTTCATTTTAATTTGGCCTTGAAACTGTTTGATTAATCTCCCTTGCTTTACCGTGGAGCTTCTTGGATTTTGTCGATGACCTGATTCTATAGTTTCATAATTGATCTGGCTTCCTCCTCTTCCTCTCTCTGTTTTTTAACTTTCGTCTACAATGTCTCATCCTCATTATTTGGTCAAAATACTAGAGTCATCACCGCTTCTTATCTGCAATGACCATGACTGGAGACAGTTTCATTCCTCTGCATGTGATGAGATAATGTTCTGTTGTGAAGTTTCTTTTTATCTAAGATTTGATCAGGTGACCTCAGTCACGATGAAGTTGGTGCTCGAGAATTGATATATTTGTTAATTCTTTTTATCTAAGATTTGATCAGGTGACCTCAGTCACGATGAAGTCGGTACTCGAGGATTGATGTATTCGTTAATTTTTGCTTGTGTAGTTCTGACTATGGATACATATTCATTGAAGTCTGTGTCAGATTTACCCGTACCTTTTCGCTCAACTTTTAGTTTCAGGTACTATATTTTCCTTGGGACCATCTATCAAGTTAAAACATGGAACGAAGTTAACTATTCTTAAAGTTACATTGAGCATAAGTTTCTATCGACTTTTTTATTCATCTATCACATCTAGTTTTTCGACAAGGAGGATTATCTTTCATCACTTATCTCTGATATAACGTACAATTTTAAATTGGCATGTACAACATAAAACCTCTAATGACTAATGTTGTACGCGCAGAAAATAATCTGCATCTATACATAAATGCTTTTAAATGATTAGCTTTCTTAATCAGCCGATGAGTTTGTACGTGCAGGTATTTTAATTCGCTTCAGAGTGAATGCTTTCCTATCTGTTTCCACTCCGATATAAATATGGTAATTTCTGCTCCAACTGGAAGTGGTAAAACGGTACTCTTTGAGCTTTGCATTTTGAGGCTTCTCTCTAGGTCCATTTCTTCCGAGGAGAGACTTATACATGTAAATGGAACTCTCAAAACAGTAAGTCCTTTATCCAGTGGCACCAGCTGCCCTACATTTCTCTCATCACTCCTTTTAAAAAGTGTACATTTTAACTCCACGCTCAGAAACTACAGAGATTTGTTTTGATTCTCCTTGAGTCAACTTTTTAGATCAAATAAATATTTCCTTGACGAATATGTTGATCTACGTGTAGTATTAGTAGCTAACTACTGCTATTATGATTTTCAAACATGGTGTCCAGATCTATATAGCCCCTTCTAAGGCTTTAGTACAAGAGAAGCTTCGGGATTGGAATCAAAAGCTTGGGCACTTGGGAATCAAGTGCCTGGAGCTGACCGGTGACAATGAATCTTACAATTTAAGGAACATACAAGAGGCGGATATTATTCTGACAACTCCCGAGGTCAGTATGCAAACGCAAGCTATGTGAAAATAATCGTACAAGAAACTTCATCTTTGACTCACTTTTTCCATGTCATATCAAAAGAATATCATCTTGAGTTATGAAGTTAAAGGCACCTATTCTCAACACGATCGGAAGAAAGTACCAATGAACTACTTTAAATTAACCTTCTAAGAGATTTGAATGTTTAAATAAAGAGTTAACCTTCGCGGGGATGACTTTTTTGTGAGATAAATCATTTTCTCATTGGTTCAAAGCTTATGCGATTCTCTTCTTGCCTATGCACCATTTTTGACTGGGGTACCTCCAGATACACAAACACGAATGCACAAGCAGTGGGTTGGTTTATTGCTATTAATGGAGATGGTTAAACTATATCCTTTTTTTCCCCCTGTGGATAGAAATTCGATGCAGTATCACGTTATGGTGTAAAAGATGGCGGCTTGAGCTTTTTCAGTGACATTGCACTACTACTTATTGATGAAGTTCATTTGTTGAATGATCCACGAGGAGCTGCTCTGGAAGCCATCGTTAGCAGAATAAAAATGGTTGCTTGCAATCCTAAAATGAAATCAAATCCTCTTGCACAAGTCCGCTTCCTAGCTGTCTCTGCCACTATTCCAAATATCGAGGATCTTGGTAATTTTTATTTTAGTTAATTCTCTCAAAAGAGTTATGCACATCATAATACACGGGAAGACCCTTACGCCATATTTGTGCTAATGCAGCCGATTGGCTTATGGTTCCCGTCCAGGGGATCAAAAGGTAGTTCTAAACTTTCACATCAATAGGATAAGTATGTGCTGCAGTGCTTAAAGTTACACTCAGAAATATTAGTTAGCGTTTGAATGCTCACAGGTTTGGAGAAGAAATGAGGCCTGTAAAATTGACAACTAAGGTGTTTGGTATGTTTCCAAAACAAACCCACAAGTCTTGACATCAGTTCCTTCTGTTTATATGAGTACATCAAGCATATTTATACACCCTTTTATTCTTAAATATACTCTTTTGCTAAAATAGTCTTTGTTTAAAATATATTAGGCTAGCTCAGGTGTGAAGGGTAGTCGGAAGTAGGTAGAGGTTAAGGGGTTAAATCCTCCAGCTGTAAAAAAAAAAAAAAAAAAAAAACCTCTTTTGTTCAATTTTTTTTTAATCCAACTACCCTTTGTTAAAATTACACAAAAGAGCCAGTGGAGGGTGTTTTATCTAAAACATTTGAAGTTAGACTAAACTACAGTAACCTATTATTTCAAGACGTATGTAAATTTTGAAAATAAGGGGAACGTTAATGTAATTTTAAGAAAACTCATGAAAGTTTCTATAATTGAAACAGCATTTGTAATTTATGCGATTAAGCACTTCTCAGGGAAAGGAGATCGCAGCAACAAGTTGTCTTGTTGTTGTTGTTGTTGTTTGGTACATATGTATTCATATTTGTATGTTATAATTCTGGCAGTTGTGTGTGCGTGTGTAAATGTTTGGTATCATCACTCGTGATTCTACCACTATACATTTCCGCAGGCTATGCCCCGGCAAAAAATGACTTTCTATTTGAGAAGGTCAGTCTCATTTTTTTTCAAAAAAATAATTGTTACTGGTAAAGAAGCGATCTGACCAACAAAGCTGATCATAATGTCTGATGTTATTCTTTTTGTCACCATGCAGCGCCTTCAAAACTATATTTTTGGTAAGCAGGGAGATTTGAGCCAACCATTTGGTTTCTTATTCTCTCCGCCTGACAAATCTGTATTCGGAGAATTTCATCACTTCATATGTATACTTGATTTCAGATATTCTCATGCAATACTCAAGAGGGAAATCTGCACTTGTATTTTGTTCAACAAGAAAAGGAGCACAAGAAGCAGCTCAGCGACTCTCTCAAATAGCCATGACTTTTGGTCACTCAAATCCATTCATTAAGAGCAATGAACAGCAGGATCGACTGAGGGAAGCTTCTCTGTCATGCAGTGACAAGCAGATGCAATCATATATCCATTATGGTGGTATGCAAATAAACTTTGTCTTGTTTTGTAAAAACTACAGGCTTTCTTCGAAGCGATGGCAATGATTCTGCATATGAGTTGCTAGTCTACTTGGTGTTTATGAGACGAATAAAAGTGGCTTTTGTTTATAGTTGGTTTTCACAATGGTGGGCTTTGCCTAAAGGATCGGAATCTTGTAGAAGGCCTCTTCCTCAGGGGTGACATTCAAGTACTTTGCACTACAAATACACTTGCCCATGGAATCAATCTCCCAGCACATACAGTGGTTATAAAATCGACACAGCACTTGTACAATAACTTTTTTCCTTTTACTGCATGTCGTCATGGCACATCAAGAAAACTTCCGCAATTAATTTATTAAATTTTCAATGCTTTACAGCAACAAAGAAAAAGGTCTCTACATGGAATACGACCGCTCTACGATATTGCAGGTATGCTTCTTGATACGCCCTCCGATAATTTCACTTTTCCTATGTACAATCTTGCAAATGGTTTACTTGAAATGAGGAAGTGGTTTCCGTAGGACAAATTTCATAGACAAGATCAAAGTGGCACACAAGCCAAAAGAATGACACTAGTCCGAGATATTTGTATCCTCTTCCGTTTCTTCACTTTAGCTTCAAAGGGAAAAATCACGTGACCTTTTTATGGTGCAGATGTGCGGCAGGGCAGGCCGACCACCATTTGATGATACAGGAATGGTTATAATCATGACAAGACGAGAAACGGTGATGCTTCCTCCTCCTCCTCCACCCCCCCAACTTTTCACACCCGCGCACACAGACACGCGCGAACGAGCATCCGCGCACTTGTCCGCATTGCTTGATGTCAGCTTGCATAATGTTCTTTTACTGTTTCTTTGTTCCTTGATTTGGAAGATGGAATTCCTAATTCTTACAAAATATGCCTTCTTATTTTCCATTACGTTACAGGTCCACCTGTATGAAAATCTCCTGAGTGGTTGTGAGATGGTGGAATCACAGTATGACTACGACTCTTTTAAGTCCCAGAACGGATTGTGTTCTTGACCGTTGCATACTTATGTAATCCTTGAGCATTTGTTCTGATTAGTTGTTTAATGTTTGCTTACCGTAGATTGTTCTCGTGTGTGACGGAGCATTTGACTGCTGAAATTGTTCAACTGACGGTATCTGATATCACAAAAGCAATTGAATGGATGAAATGTTCGTACTTGTACGTGAGAATGAGAAGGGTATGTGATCATGGATTTCTATTAGATTTTTCTTAAAGTTTTTCCCATTTGATAATCGTATTTGCTTCACAAGCAGAACCCAAAAAAATATGCGGTTAAAAATGGAATTTCTGCTGATCGTTTGGAAAAGCATGTACAGGGTACAATTGTCACCACCTGGCTCTTCTCTGTGGATTTTTTATGTGTATCTTTCTCTTTGACACAAGCATTTTGCTTAATTATTGAAACTAATTTACACCAGAAATATGTGTTAAAAAAGTTAATGAGTTATCACAGCATCAGATGGTCTGGGTTGATGAAGATGGTTTCCTCTTGAGGCCATTAGGTATGAATCTTCGAACTATAAAGACTTATATCTGTTGTACATTTATATAAGACTAAGAATCTTGTTAATTTCTGATTTTGTTCCCTTTTCCTTTCTTTTAGAGCCTGGAAGGTTGATGACGAAGTATTATTTGAGATTTGACACTATGAAACAGATAATGCGAACCCCTGAAAACTGCACGTTAGAAGATGCCCTTCGTGTTATTTGCCTTGCTGAGGAAATTTCTTGTACGAGTATAGTTGTGATAATCTGATATTATGATATACTAAAATACAATTTATCAATCTGAATATTGGCAAAATTCTGTACTGGAAATTGAAGGGATACAGCTTAGACGCAATGAAAAGAAGATCTTGAATGAGATCAATGCTGACAAAGATGGCCGGCTTCGGTTTCATATCCTTGGAGATAAGGGGAAAAAGAAAAAGCGCATTCAAACAAGAGAAGAAAAAATTTACATATTGGCAAATGACTGCTTAACTGGTGATCCCTCGGTTCATGATCTATCCCTAATTCAGGTGCAATATGGTGACCTCTCTATTTTGCGCAGCATATCAACTCATATCTTAGTGACTAAGCAAACTTGATGCCACAGGACATGAATTCTATATGCTCAAATGGATGTAGAATTGCTAAATGCATGAAAGATTATTTTATTTACAAAAAGAATTACAAAGGAGCTGTGAATTCTTCCCTTCTGGCCAAATCACTTGACCAGCGACTTTGGGATGACAGTCCATACTTGTTGAAACAATTACCTGGAATTGGCATGGTTACGGCGAAGGTAAAATAAATATGATTGCAAATCCTATTAACTATCCTTTAACTGAATGCTTCTTATTTTCATGTCCTTCCAGGCACTGCATTCAATGGGCATTAAATCATTTGAGGCACTAGCTGAAGCTGATCCGAGAAGAATAGAGATAGTGACGGGTCGAAAATATCCATTTGGGAACCATATCAAGGATTCTCTATTATCGCTACCCCCAAAAATTGATATGAAGCTTGAGGAAATTGAGATGCAGAAACAAGGGAAGTGCAAACTAGTGGTAACACTGACTAGAATGTCAGAGTCATTCCAGTCACTTAAAAGGCATTATGCTGATATGGTGTGTAATCAGAAATTTTCTTTCTGAAAAATCCAAAAACCGTTTAGTGAATTTTCTGACACTTTCTCTCTTACAGATAATTGGTGTGGAGGAAGACAACATTATTCTCTTTCATGAAAAAATAAGGTGATGACGTATGGGTCACTTTCTGCGGCTAGATACTTTAGACTATGCACATAGATATTTTGATAAGATAATTTACACTAAATAAAATGGTTTCTTTCAAACACCCTGTCCGATGGTATTGACTCTGTAAAACTGCCAAACTAGCTTGGGCCCACTGGTTTCTCTCATCTGGATACATTTTGAATTCTCACTAACTTGTTGCTGCAGGGTGGACCAATTCGCCAGGTATATGAACTGAATCTTCGACTCTCCTTTAGCAGCACCCCCCCCCCCAAAAAAAAACAAAAAAAAAACCCACGTTCGTAGTGTTGACTACATCCCGGGCTGAGATGCTTTCAGAGGCGAGTATGAAAAATTTTATTTAGGGAACTTTCCGCAGAAACTATTCATGTTTCAAAATTTGGAGCTTCCAGTTCGGTATTCTAGCAACTGATCACCCTGCATGAAATGTGTTTCAGAATAGTAGGTAAAATAATTTGACAAGTTATTTCAACCGAAAAAAAGGCGGCAGCGAGTTTACCTTGGATGAAATATTTTTGGCATGCAAGTCACAATCATTAACCATATTTCGCTCAGTAGATAATGATACAACTGAAAATATAGAAACTGGCCCATACGTCATACCTGTACTTTATTTTGCTGCAAATTTAGAGGCCGAGAATTTTATTTCATATTGCAGCCCTTATAGTGCGACAATACTTGTCCCAATCTCTCATGGGAAGCAGATAATCAAAGCTAACTTTATACATGAAGAATATAGTAAGTTGTATCCACCGTATATCCAAATTATCAATAATCTCAAATGTGTTTTCTTTAGTTTGTGGAGTTATGGCCTTTTTCTCTTTCTTTTTGTGCAGTTGGTATTGATGTCCACCAAAATCTTCCCCTGATCAAAGAGAACAATTCAAATTTGCAATTACAAAGAAAGAGAAAGCTCCCTGCTTTTCCTTCACCTGAAGAGTTACATGTTATTGAAGATGACAACATGACCGCCCCTCAAATGCCAATGGAAGAGCTATGCAATTTGATGTCTAAGGATGAAACAAATTCCACGTCGGTCGTCTTCCTTTAAGGATACCTTCTTTTCTTAATTCCTTTTTGGCCATTTCTTTTTCCTAATTATCTCTTCTGTTACAGCCCGAATTTTAACCTTCTAAATGAAGAGTTAGGACAAGGTACCACTTAATTCAGAGATTATTTTTTTATTGGTTTTGTGTAATAAGAAAATTCTTCCCATTTTCAAGTGCTAATTACTTCCAGAAGGTGGGTGTGAGACGGAAGTTGAAGAGGATGAATGCAAAATCGTCAATGAGAAAACAGTATTTGACCACATACGTGAGAAGGCCAAAAATTTCTCTCTCCTGTCTGCATATGATAATATTCGCCTCCCATCACCAGAGGCCCTCCTTCTGACAAGAAAGCGTGCCCGAGAGAAGAGGCATGGACTCCCCCATGAAGTAATTGTTCTGGATGATGAGACAGAAAGACTCAGCATATCGCCCCAAGCCGAGGTTAATTTTCCTGTGCGGCTCAGAAAGGCAGCAGACGATGTTAGTAACCTGTTTTTGGATTTAAAGGATCATTACACAGTTGGAAGCTCCAATGCCACCGATGACGCAATGGATACAGGTGCACATTTAACTATTATGTGATTTAATTATTATCTTTTGCTTTAAAGGTTTTATCGTATGATTTTGTTGTTGAAGGTGTTTTCCTCATGGAACCTGAAACAAGCACGTACGAAACGTCAACTGACCAAACAATTTTTGACCATATACGAAGAAAATCTAAGGATTTTCCACTGATTAGTAATTTGGATTGCATGGAGTCAGTTATCCAGAAAAAGGAACTATTCACACACGACCATTTTGATTCCTTAAATGCTGCTTCTGATACGGAAATGGATACTAATCTCTCGAATGTTCTCAAGGAGAACATACATACTTCATACATGGAATCGGTTGAAATGGACAAACATGCATCTGGTTTCCAATATGGAGCTGAGGTGGAACATAACAAATTTGAAGGTTTCAGTGGGAAAGACGGAGTAAGGACAGCGTTAAAGGACAACAAGCGCCCGCCAGATGCAAGCAGCTTTGCACATGGTACTAGTAAGAAGCAGCGCTCTTCTATAGAACCAGAAGCAGATAAGTCAAGTTTAAATGGAACAAGAAGACAGTGCGGTTTTTTGGACACCGCAGGCAGAATGAAGGAAGCAGGTTCAAGTCCTGTGTTCAGGAGCGTATTTTCTTTTCTCTGATTTTTCCGTTATTTTTGCGGCTTATGGATGTCAGCTCAGAATGCGCCACTCTTGGACTTCGACTGATCGCACTAGCTTCTTACCATAAATGGTGTATTTCATTTTGGTGTCCTGCACTGGTTGTGGGATCACATGGCAACAATAAGACTGGTTATCATCGACGGCTCCACATGCGGGAGAGTAGTGAATATGACGCGTGAGTAAATTTCAGGGAGAATCTGAACCCTCTGTTATATGTATTCCGCGTTGATTTGCCAACCCAAATATTATACGGATCGGGATCGGTTTCTCTCCACTTCCTTCCAGTTCGCTTCCAGTTCACTACCTTCGACGACGTCGTTTCACACTAACAATCTTAACCGTCCATTTCCTCACTCCATCTCAGTCGTTCAGTGGGTTCATCAGCTTGGGTTCATCAGCTTCCGTTTCTCTTCCTTGACCACGGTTTATTCAGCTGTTCTTACCTTCAGACGCAAACACAGCGAAAGCGAGAGAGGAGAGAGGGATAACGTGACAATGGCCGCCAGAGCTGCCAGCGCCGTCGTCGGAGATTGCACTCCGGAGCTCATTGCAAGGAGTGAATGAAATCCCTGTTGAAATAAACAATATGCGTGAATATATAAAGACCACATACACATGCTGCCTCATGATCCATAGAACATTGGTGCGTGAATATATACATGCTGCCTCACAAAAACATAAATGAAATCAGAAATAATTTATTAATAGACATAATGTAAATTGGTTCATTTTTCCACCAGTATGCTCTGCTCCTTTCATGATCCATGGCGTCAGATGCAAGGTAATGGAGCTCAAGAAAGAGTTGCAGAAACTGAAATCAACTGTTGGTATTTTGCAAAAATTGTTTACTCACCAATTTTTAATATTCACCATCCATTCCTTCCCAGAACTCTGCGCCGAAACCTTTCCCCCCAATAGCTTCGACTTTCCCGCGCTGCTCATAGAAGAGAAACGGAAGCTGGTGATATTAAACATTAAACCCACTGAACAGCTGAGATGGAGTAAGGAAATGGATGGTTAAGATTTTTAGTGTAAAACGACGTCGTCGAAGGTAGTGAACTGGAAGCGAACGGGAAGGAAGTGGAGAGAAACCGATCCAGTATTATAACGCTGATAGCGGTTGGAGGATTGTCTTCGTCATCTCCAATGTCATGGTAAATGGGTCTGCACAAAAGAAAACGAGAACAGGTAAGACGTAAGAGACATTTTGAATTTGAGCTGTTGGACTTGACGATTGGCGCCATCTTGTGCGGGTTGGTCCCTTGTCCGTGACCTGTCCTGGAGGGTATTTAATTTCTTTTGCCCCATAAAATTCAAGATAAAATGAGATAAAACTAGTTTTGGGGGTAAAAATTGATGAAATTATTTTCATACTTCTTATCGTCATAATTTGTAATGAAAATATAAATATAGATTTTTTTTAATTTTGTGTGTACGTGAGATTACTATTTGAGAGTTTTGAGAATTATATTATGCTTTACTAATAGACCTAAAGAAGATGCAGTATTGAACTATAACGGCTTATTTTAGACGCTCAAGAAAGTACAAGTTCTAGTATAATCTAGTACTATTTTCAGTACTTAATATAAAAAAATTAGTTGACTAATTTAAATAGTTTAAAAAAATTGCTTAAGTTAGTTATTTGTAATAAATAAGTGTTGTCTTTCTTAAAATATCATTACTAATCAAGTGTATTGACTAAAATTACTATTATTATAAGAACTATTTTAAAAAAATAGATAAATATAAAAGATAAAATAGATTAGAATCTTATATTTAGAATCAAAATAAAAATCAAACAAGATTTTATATTAAACATCAGAGTTAGCATTAATTATTAATAATAAAATAAAGAATCATTTTCAGACGGAACTTATGGGTCGGCAAAGTAGTTGGAGTGAGGTTTAGATCATTAAAGGAGTAAACAGCTTGGAGGTTGGCGTGGCATTACCCAACTGGAACATATCCAACAATACAACGCTGATCTTAACCCCCAGATTCTTCCTCCTCCCACTTCTATGACACGTGGGAGCCACCCTTGATAAATGCTAAAAGACGATGGTGGCGCCCAGGGACCGGTGCGTGCCCTGTACTGAGTCGCCAAAATGCACAAGACGTGGAATATAAATAAATAAATAAAAGTTGATACAAATTTTGATTTTTTAAATTCATTCTAATTTTAGTTTAGTTCTTAAATTTTAAATTATAGGTTTTTTAAAAAAAAATTTTTAATTAGAATATTGGTTTTTATAATCTAATAAAAACCTAAATTATTTTACTTTTTTTAAAAAAAAATCAAAACTTATGGTAAACAGACAGAACATTATAGTGTTAGACTGTTAGGTCACCAATTAAAAAAAATGCCATTGCTTTATTTTTAAATTTAATTTTGAATTCATGGCATACCAAAACTTGTTTGGTCGAGGTTTCGATTATGAAAACTCTTTAATTGTCGATATCATATCTGAAAACAATAAATTCAAACCCCATCTCATTTTTTATCAATCCTTTAAATCATTAACTTTAGATCCATTTTTAGAGAAATTTTAAGTTAACAATTCGGTTGTTCCATAAAAACTAGTTTACATAGAATTATGTATACGATTTTTTTTCAGAAGATCTCAACCACTAATGTTCAAACATTCGACCAGTATAACAAAATTGGTTCTGAGATTGCAGTATCAAAGTACCTGACATATACATAACGCAAAAAATCAATTTACGGGCATACAGTAAAAAAATAAAAAAATTACAACACATTAATAATCAAAAGAAAAATTTGCTGCCTAAGAAATAAATAAATTAACAAAATCGCAGGCGAAGATTATGCCAATGGTGACAATTTAAAGATGGCGTTAATTGCCCTATTTTGCTCTAACTTTTGACAGTTAGTGAATCGTCCTTGTTCGAACATTGTCTCACTCAGATTCTTGTCTCTATTTGTCTATTAATTTTTATTATCCTCTTTTGCTTAAATTTACATTATAAAATGAGTCTTATATTTAGAAATAGAAGAATACTTTTTTGGATCCAAGACAAACATATCACATTTGACCTCGACTAATCGCGCGCGCTCATTTACGGAGTGAAAAACCTTCCAGGACCCTGAAGCCGCACCATGTTAAAGAATTAAGCTTGGTTTATGGGGTCCTCAATTCTTGATGGCCCCTCTGAGCCACGAGTGCTGAAGGTCTCCGAGGATGATACTTCGAACATTCCAATGTTCTTCAATGCATTTGAAACAAACTGTTTGTGCTGTAAGACCTAATGGAGCTCTCTGAGTTTGGCAACCCAGTGCCAGTACTCAAAAATGGGGGTTGATTTGGTACAGAAACATCCACATTTGAGTTACTTAACAGCTCCACAACTTCTTCCATGGTTGGCCTCAGGGAAGCCGAAGCTTGTGTGCATAGTAGCCCTATGTGAAGCACCCTTGACAGCTCTGCTGCTGCAAAATCATCTCCTAAGCATGGATCCACAGCTTCATGTAATCGATTTGATCGATAGAGTTTCCAAACCTGAGGCCAAATCCAGAGTTTTTTTTTTTTTTTTTCACATTGTTAAAACAAAAGGTAAGAATCAAGTAACCGCGGAGAAAGATCTTACTGTTTGTAAAAGGGAGCCAGAATCTTCTCTGAAGACGTTGTTCCTTCGGCCGCATAGAATTTCCAGAACAAGTACTCCAAAGCTATACACATCTGCTTTATCTGTTAGTTGTCCTCGAATAAGATATTCAGGCGCCATGTATCCTCTAATAATCATAAAAAGAAGAGTCAGTTATGGTATAAACCCTAGAATGGTCTCTTCACAGTTTAAGATCATCCTCTGAAAGAGTATTTACTAGACGGACTCACAGTGTTCCGGCGATGCCCGTGCTAAGATGCGTTTTGTCGGCAGCAAAACATCGGGCCAGGCCGAAGTCTGCAATCTTAGGAGTGAGATTCTCGTCCAGAAGAATGTTGCTGCTTTTGATGTCTCTATGGATTATTCTTAGATTAGATCCTGCATGAAGATACGCAAGCCCCTCTGCTATTCCAATTATTATATTTAAACGCTGCTTCCAATTTAGAATCTGACTTTTGCTCTTTTCTGCAAAGCAGAGTACGACGATGTCACGTTTCTGGAATTATATGATTCTTTTCGTTTATAAAGTTCAACTGGGATTCGATTGGGAAAAATATAATGAAAGAAGAAAATTACCAAAAATGAATTGATCCAAGCTCTTGTTGGGTAGGTACTCGTAGACAAGGAGGCTTTCGGGGCCTTCAATGCTACAGCCCAGGAGTTTGACGAGATTCTTGTGCCCAATTCCGCTAATCAAATTCACTTCGTTAAAGAAGTCGTCAACCCATTGCCTGGTATTGAACACTAATCTCTTGACAGCCACCACTCTCCCGTTTGCAAGAGTCCCTTTGAACACAGACCCAGCCCCTCCTTGCCCAATTTTTCTTGAAGAGTTGAAATAATCCGTGGCCTTCTCCAGAGTTTCGTATTTGAAATTCAAACTCGACTTGTTTATGGAAATGGAAATCTGACCAAGATAATTGCTTTCTGGGTAACCAATGAAAAGATCACAGCCTCAGAAAATAAAATTAAATATTGATCTAAGTCTGATACGAATACGATTGCTGTCATACAGATACTTCCCTAAAATATTACCTTTATCTTTCTTCCTCTTTGATAATCTTGACAAGACAACATAAAATGCAGAGAGAAACAGCATCACAACTGCAGCCGCAGATAACACTGTCGCTATGATCGCTCCCCTCCTAAATGACCCTAAAAATCAAAAGGTTAACTCAGAAGAAAATTATATACCCACTTATACAATATACAAAGTAGGATCTGTAATCTTCTGAGGCCAGAATCTGAACCCAAGAAATATGAAGATTTTGAAGGAATGTGAGTCGAACTAGTGCCATATGAACCTGGACAAGACGCACAAACTTACCCTTTTGACCCTTTTCTTCTTCACCAGCTTCGTTATAGAACTTGCGAGTTGAGTACCTCAAATAGCAACCAGCATTCAATGCCCTTCCTTCCCTCTTAGGCAAGCACCCTCTCACATCCCTTGCTGCTTTCCTCAAGCAAATACCACATTCATCACTTCGCAATGTCTTCCAACACTGAGCCAAGGCATAAACTCCCCCAACCTCTCCCACACCAAACCCTAATCCCTCTCCCAGCGAAACCCTCACCACATTATCAAGCACGTCGCCGACACTCTTCTCAAATTCCCGCCTCTCACCTCTTTCATCCTCCACCACACCATATGAGGAGCTACAGTTCAGAGTGTCCCTAACAGGATCAATGGCTTCCGAGTAGAAACTGTAGTTATCGTAGCGAAGGAAGCAGCCGTCGAGGTAGATGCGGGCCGAGAGAGAGGGGAGACAGCGAGGGAGCTTGGTGCGGCTGGCAGCGTAGCAGAGAAGGCAATCGGTGTGGGAAAGGTCACGGAAGCACTGAGCGAAGCCGAAGATGGGAAGGGAAGAGAGATTAAGAGAGTGAGAGGCCCAGTTCTGAGAGGTGATGGTCTGGGAGAGAGACTGCATTTCTCGGACGAAGACAGGGATGTAATGGGAAGAGAGAGGGGCTTTGGAGGTGCCGCAAAAGAGGCCAGCTTGGGAGATTCGAGGATCACAAAGGAGGGAGGAAGGGAAAGAAAGAAAGAGGAGAGAGATGGGAATGAAGAGAAGGCATGAAGAAGAAGAAGAAGGAAGTGGGGAACGTTTCATGGCGAGGAAGTAGAGCGTAACAAGTGAAAATGAGGGGTTTGGGGTTCGGTTTTATGGGGAAAAGGAGGGAAGTGGAGAGGTTGGTCACTGCCAAGTTTGATCTTTTTCGATTTGGTTAAGCTTCGCTTTCCCGCACCTGTACATTGGTCGGCGACTCGGCGGGGTAGAGAGCCCCATGCCCTCACCTCTCTGTTTCTGCTCTGTTTTTCCACGTGTCCTGCATTGCAACTAAGTAGGCATAAATTATAAAGATTTTCTTACGTTATACGTGTATAGATTAGACAAATTTCTTCATATTAGTGGGATAAGCGTGAGGTCATGTTTGAATTTGGAAGGATGTTTTGATTAGAGGAAATTTATTGAAAGAACCTCATTTAAATCTAGTTAAAATACTGAAGTTTAAAATCAGACTTTCATTTTGAATAAATTTCTAAATAAATTTCTAATTAGACCAAGAGGCTTAATTAGAAATTTATAATTTATAAATATTGTTAAAAGATTAAAATGTCTCTCAATAACTAAAATATAAGTAACTTAAAGAACTAAAATGTCCTTCTATAATTAAAATATGAGTTTATACTTGTATATTTTTCTCCCTCACAAATTTTTTTCCTAAAATATGAAAATAATAAAATTATAACACTATCCTAAATTCAAAATCTGTATTAAAAAAAAAGTTTGTCGTCCGAATAAGTTTTTCACTCTTAAAATGTATGTGTGTTCTAGTAAACAAGTATACGGATTTTAATCAACGGGAGTTGGTCCAAGTGATAAACGGTTTGGTATCGCTTAAACGAGGTCTCGAGTTCGAGCCTCAGCGTATGCAGAATGGGCAACCAAAAAAAAATATATACGGGTTTAATAAAAAAAATTGTATGTGTGTGCATATCATGAAGTGTATGGAGAATCAAATATTCAAACTTAGCAGAAATTAAACCTATCCAAAATTAAAATTTATCAGTTACCTACATTGATGAAGCTGTTGGAGTAATTATTAATGTGAATCAAGGACTGTATTTTAATTTCTTTTCATCTACTAAAGACTTGGTATTTTCAAATTTCAGAAAAATTTGAAGAAAAAAAATCAGGAAAAGAACTTGTGAGGAAGAAACAATATAAAAGTAACAACTTATATTATAATTATAGAGGACTATTCTGGATTTTTAACAATATTATAATTAGACATCTTAGCCTAATGAGGGATTCATTCAAAGTGTAGGACTAATTTTAAATTTTAGTATTTTAGTTGAATTTAAACAGAATTCTTCCAAACTTATTTCCCATTTTTTATATTAAGGAAGAAACTAAAATTGAAAGGAAAAAGGTTGGGGGGCCCACTTTGACTTAGAGACACAAAGAAGGGATTTCTTCTCTTTTCTTTCCATCCTCTTCTCTTCTTTTCCTAACATTTAAATTAATATATTTTAACAGTTTAAATTTTAATTTTTTATAAACTATTTATAAAAATTTTTAAAAATATTTAGCATATTTGTAAACTATTAGAATTAAATTTTAATATAGTTTGTAATTTATTATCTATTTATTTTTATAATTTAATATTTTAATAATAATTTTAAAAAATAAATTTAAAACATTAAAATATGAATCTAATAATTAAAAAAGAAAGAAACGAAGAGAGGACGAGAAGGGAGGAAAAAAAAGTTAGGAACCGACAAAAGAGAATGTTGTCATTGTCAACCGGTGTGTGACACGACTCTAATGTAAACGCAACCCACCGCTCACCTTTCCGGATGCCATGGCTCACCCGGTCTTCCATTCCCACTTTCCAGTTTCTACCGCCTTTGCTTTGCCTGTCATTGATACATTCGGGTTCGGCTTCTCTTCAGTTCTTTTTTCCCCCCTGCTTGTTCTCTAAAATTATTATTAAATGTCAAATTATAAAAAACAAATAAATAAATTCAAATTAAATAGTCATGAATTATAACGAAGAAAAAACAAAAAAAAATTGTAAAATGTTAAATCCTGACTGTTTAAAATTTGATCCCAAAATTGAGAACTTGAGATGGGAAGCGAATGGGAAAAGAAATGTAAAAAAGCCAAATTGTCATTCTCTTGCACGTAGTACTTCTTACATCTGCATATAAGAAAAGAAGGGGAAATTAATATTCAAATTATTTTAAATATACTTTGGTTCATCAATTTGTGAACTAGTTGTCTTGGACTTCATCCATCAATGAAATAAAGTAAATAATTGATACTAAAGTGAACATTTGATTAGCAGCCGCCTCGAAAGTCTTTTAAATCACTCATACAAAGTGTTGAATTATGTGTTCAGTACCTCTCCAACATTCCTGGATTCCGACCTAAAGTAATCATTCTTTTTTTGGGTATTCTGTGTGCCATTGACAATAGCAACCAAGGGAAAAGCTCTCCACGAGGCGTCCATGGCGGAAATATTCTTTTTAAATTCAAAAACCAATCATGTTTCATAATATTTTATGCGTTTTGAACACCGTCTCTGTTTCCCTGTACAGCGGTTCTCAATTGGAATAAAATAATTTCTCCAATAAGATCAGGAGAGAGGAGTAACATGAGGAGACTGAGAATTATACGCAGTCCATGAGCTGTGAAACTTATAGGGCCAACGTGAATCAAATATATTTTAATGCCATGCCGAACTACAACCAAAAAGATGGAGGCCAGGGGAAATGGAGTTTTGGAAGGTGCTGGCTATGGCATTACAGCATCCTTTGATTTGCACAGCTAGTTTGGTCACCTAACTTTTTGCCCCACCAAGATAAATCTTGCATCTACTTCATTATCTGTAGCGTCCTTGCTGTCATTTGATCCTCAGTTTTACTTTCTGATGCAGTGTTCAATTGGAGATGTCTTCGTGCCTAAGAAGCACTGCCGAAAGGAAAAACAAACGACAAAATCTTATGGGTGACCACACTTATAAATTGGCATACCTACCTAAAATCACATGCCTCAATATAAACTAATGCTTTCAACAGACTCGAATTTTCTGTTTGTGAATTGTGATTCCACTGACAATTTCAAGTTCAAGTACCCCAAAGCTATATATGTCTACTTCTACTAATTTTCCCTTCGTGAATAGGTACTCAGAGCCACATAATCCTCTTACAAAATGGACATAACAGAGGCAAGAAATGGTTAAAGCCCTTGCAAGAGAACAATTGGGAGGAATGAAGTAGATTTCGTGCCTGCAGTCAAAGTATTAACAAGGGGATTGACGTTATCACATAATTAAAGTCTTGCCGGAACCAAATTAGCAATCTTTGCTTTATACTTCAAATAATTTGATGTCCCTATCCTCTGTATCCTCCCCACTTGAGAATTGTTGGGCAGTCGTCTAGTGAGAATTCCAAGCTCCTCGTGCATATCGTCTGGCGTTCAGCTCTGCTTCCATATCCTGATATAAGCAAATGTCAGGACTATTATATTTAGCCTTTCTATACCAAAACGAAATGGCCATAGTCCTGATTCCTCCTACCTTGTTGCCTCGCTGTGACTGCACGAACTGCAATTGTTCCCCTTTCACACAACGTTATGAAGACGACCCGAGAAATTCTTGCACACTCTGATAGTACCAGCTCATTGTACTCTCTCCAATCAAAATGGAACAGCTCACCTAATTGTTATCCCAGCTGTCAGCTTATATGTTTTTACTTAATTTATATTATTTTATTTTTGAAAAATAAACCAATTTGAATAAATTATTTTACTTAGCAATTTATTAATCAAATCTTTCCTCTATCCTCATCTTCTTCGACAAAACTGACAACCGTCATGTTTTTGGCTATGAAGCTCTGCCGCTAACAAGGGGTGTTGGGTAACCACCCTTTTTCTTCCTCTATTCTTTGTCGATGGAGCCTCGCCGCAAAATGTAGTTGCTTTTGATTAATTAGCGAACTGGTCGTTGGCCTTACCCTTGATCTCAACCGTACCTGTCGAGAAAATGGATTTCTTCAGTCTCAGACTCCATGGTTTCTACGCTATTCAATTAACTTCAGCGTCTTTAGCTTCTTCGTTCCCCCTCTTTATACCTCCAATCCCATCGTTTGTTTCATTGTAGCTAACTCTCTCCAAAAGGTGGGGTTGGTACGCTTGCCTCTGACATTTCTTCCTGAGATGAAAATCAGACTACTTTTATCACCAAAGACAGGATAGCAAAAGTGGTGATTGCTCATATTGTGCTTCTTGCCACCCCATTTCAAGAAAGGGAGAGAGAAGTTGAGGAGAGGCTAAGACTTCACCGATGCAGCGGCCACGCGGAACTCCCTATCAGCAGTGAAGTTTCATATGGAAGAAGGACAATATTCTCTAGGATAAAAGAGAGATCTGATGATTAAATTAATCAAAAAAATTTATGCAAATTGGATTTTACTTTAGAAGCATTATTATTTCAAAAGTAGAGCAATATAAAACAAGCAAATAACACAAAAGCTTACAGCTATAATAAAAATTAGATGAGCTGCTGAATTTTGATTGGAAAGAGTACAAATGACCTGGCATTCTTAAAGTATGCAAGTATTTCTCCGATGACCAACATTATGAAAGCCGTAAGAGCAGAGAAAATGGCTTCTGCTCCACTTTTCCTTTTTTAATCAATCCATTATCATCTATTACTTTGTTTTAATGATTTTCCGTTACATTTTAAGGTTTTGAAAATATATATTTTTTCCAGGCCATTCTTTTGGTTTTTCTAACAAAGCAACACTCGGCCGCATGCACTGCTGTTACAGATTTTAGCTTCATGTTCCATCGAATCGGTTAATGGCGATTCAAGAAAGGCAACCACTGTTTTACGTGGGGACTGCGATTAGACAGGTCAGAACAAAGTTTTCTATTTGATTTACCAACACCATCGACTGTGACAAGGTAACTATCAACATTTACTGGCCTGTTTCTACGGTATAATTGCAAATACCTGGTGGGGCAAAACAATAAACGGTCTATGTTGTTGAACTCTTTGTAGT